ATACTCTCTACATAGCGGTCGTATAGTGGTTGTATACCCCGTGTTTGGGATTAGTGGAAACCATCCAAAGGTTTTCCCAATGTTTTTGAGAATGCGGTTCTTCCACATGAATCTTTTTCCGGAAGCCATCAAAAGTGTTCCGAAACCATCCAAAAGTTGTCCCAACGTTTTTGAGAACGCCTTTCCTTTTTCCCCACATATTGTTTTGTTTTCTCCGGTGCGGCTTAGGTAACGTCGCCGGAAGGCGCCATGGCCTTCCTGAAAGCCTTCCACGCCGCGGCGGCGGAGTGTCTCATCTTTCTGCAGCACGTGCAGAGCATCGAGTTCTGCTGGATCCCGGCGGACGCGAAACCCGGGGCCACGCCCAGCAGCGTCATGCAGATCCAGGCGCCCGGGTTTGAAAGGCAAGCGCTTGGGAATGGAGTTGGGGTACTTTGTTGGAGGGTAAGCCTTTTGAGTCCAAGGGTGGGAATGGATTGGTGTTACTTTTTTTGGAAGGGTACCATTTTTTTTCGGTCCGAGGACCTTGGTTTGAAAGGAAACAAGGGGGGAAACACACAGATGTTGGTTGTCCTTTGTGTTTGGTTGATTGTTTCTTTGAAATGGTTGGCTTCCTCGGTGTCTTTTCAAATACGAGCAGAGGTGTCCACCAACGGAAGCTAGGGATGCGTGTTTTCGAGGGTAGTAGTATCAAGGTGTTTATCTTGACTAAAGTGAATGGGTGTGTATTGTTTAAAGGTTTAAATGAACATGACTGTGTAGGTTTGAGGGTAAGCATCACCATTTTGACCTACTCCAGGTGATGCCACACGGAATCCCCGTGTCCTTGCGCGAAAACCCGCCACTGGAAGTGAGTACGGACGAGCAAGCGCTGCAATACCGCGGACTTTTCTCCTCGAGGACAGTCTCTCAGAGAAACTCGGCTGCGTGTGTCCACTGGTTCGACCTTTGAATCTGCGGCTGTCAAACCTGCAAGGCTTGGGGCAAAGAACTGTTTCCTCATTAACTTGGCTGTTCAACCAACATGTCTTTTTGTTGAACATGATTGTTTCCCCGCCAGCGATCAAACGAGCCTTCCCAGACGTTTCGCAAGGGACCCCTTTGACCCATGCGATGCGAAGCTTGGCGAAACAGCAGTCCCAACCAGAAATCGGTTCGTTTGCCCTCTGGGTTCCTTGCCTGGAGTTGGGCCGACCGCGATATGTACCCGGTTTGTATGAAGGCCGGAGATTGCCAGGCGAGAAGTGCCTTCGACCAACTCGGCTCTCAAAGCTGCACATGTTGTTTTGGAGGATAACTGCTCCTCCTGCAAGGGAATCAACCACCATCATTTGCTTGGACAAATGTGGCTGTGGGTCAAAACCAATGGTACCATTTTGGGGTAGGTGCACCACCCATTTTAGTCTATTTTAGCGGGGATCGGGACGTTCACGATTTGGATTTTGACCCATGGTCATGTCTGTTTCCCCAGCAAGGGAATCGAGCCATGGCTTCTCCAGCAACCGCGGATCAAAGACTTGGCCCGAGGCAAGGAGAAGCAGAGCTTCATCTCGGAGTTGATGGGCCGTCTGGGCATGGCCACCTCCTCTCCCGAGATCCGGCCCTACGTCTCATTCAACCTGGTAATTTCCATTGCGTGGATGCCGCCGCCAGATCTGCAACAGGACGGGGAGATGGAGTTTCTTTCAAACAAAACAGGGGAGGTGTAACTAACTGCTCAAAAGACACCAACTCCCCCAGCTAATCGAAGATCACATTTTCAGGTGCGTTGCTTTACGCACCAACTGATTCTTGGTAAGGGCATAATCAGTCAACAAGTCCCAAGCTGCAGGAGGTTGTTTGTTGGCTAGTTGGTTTGTTTGATTTGTCTGTTTGTTGGTTTGTTTGTTTGCTTGGTTGTTTTCTTTGTTTGCTTGATTTGTTTGTTTGGTTGGTTTCATGTCATCAGCAGTGCCCCGAGTCGAGCTCACCCCACCGACACTGCGGGCAGACAAAACAAGACAAGACAAGTTGTTTGTTTGGCTGACCGTTTGGTGGTTTATTCGTTTATTTTGTTTGTTTGTTTATTTGTTCGTGTTTGTGTTTACGTTTGTGAATGTGACTCTAACTCTCAGCCGCAAGCAGGGGACGAATTTCGAAAGCTTTCCCTTGTCTTTTAGGGGACACATTTTGGTGGTGGAAAGTACTGTAGGGCTTCAAGTCATAAAGCAGTCATCCCAACAACCCGTATTGGCATCACGGGGTCCACAGCCACGGTTGGGGCTGGGAGGTTGCAACCGACTCAGCCGGAGTCATCTTGGGACAGGAGCGTTGCTGCTGAAAAGGGGTTGGTTGAGGAAATTGGTCTTCCAGGTATCATTCCACCGGGCAGATGTAGTATGCACATTTACAGCATGCTAAAGGAGGCTTGATATGGTTGTCACACGAGAAGTTGTGGGTTTGCCATGAATTCAGATGTGGGCTGTTGACGTTTCAGCCACGGCAACACGGGAGTTCACCAGGAAATACATGAAGGCACAGGCTCAGTGAAACAGATGCAGCATGCATCAGCATTGCTATGGTTGTGCCAAGGCTGGCCAAGCAGCAAACAGGACCAAAACCACAGATATCTGTTCAGGTTTACTGTTCCACACACACACACACACATTCGCAGCGCATGGCTGATGTGCTGTCATTGGAAGATGAGCGAGCCCGGTACCACGCCACACGCTTTCGAGAAAAGAGCGCTGCAGCTGTTCTGCATCGCTACGAGCTGCAGAGATCGCAGATGAGCCGGCCGCAACTTGAGCAACATGCCTTTCACGTGGCTTCTTGGCTTGTTGCGCTGCCCAAGGATGAGGTGGTGCAAGATCACAATGGTCTTTCCGTGGTCACCTTGTTTGTACGATACTTGGAGTCTTTGGATGGTCCTGATGACAGGCCAGTCGACACCAGATTAGCTCAGATGTTGTCACGAGTGTCTCAAAACATCCTCTGTTTGTTTGGTGATGATCCAGTGGGAACGCAGCTTCAAAAGCAGATCAGCAAGCATATGCGGCCGCAAGAGCTGGTCTCCGCAGATTGTTCACTTGCTGATGAGAAACGTGCTGAATGTGAGGATGCTGAAGCCAAGGCAGTGCGCTTAATGCAGAGGGCCATCCAAAGATGGCAGAACAGCGACAGCCGAGAGACGTATGACAACAGCTTGGAGCAGGAACTTGCAGAGTCGGAAGACCCTGTCACACTTCGGAGGATTCTGCGCCGCGCCGTGGCTGCCTTGTCACCTCCGCGGTGCAAAGGCAATAGTAATAGTGTGCTTGCTTACAGTTCGTCGCAGAGTGGGCTGCCAGCATCCAAAGATTTGCAGGCTAGGCTGCGGGCACTGGTTCTGGCATGCCTGGACGGCTTGGATTTGACAGATTCGTCATTGGCACCTGCGCTGCTGTGCTTGAAGGCACATGTGCAGAAATTTCAGGAGCTTCTCGAGAATGAGAGCTCAGTGGCCAGCCAAAAGCAGTGGCTTCGATTACAGGCAAAGTGTGCTGTCATCTCAGCTGAGGCATTACCAGGCCTATCTGCTTGTTCTGCAAGCTTGTGTGTGGTTGACAACAAGAGGAAGCGCAAACGGAGAGAGAACAGCTTGGCTTCAGACGGTCAGAAAGAAAAAGGCTCTGGGACAAGGAGATTGCAAAATTGTCCGCACGGCAAGGTTAAATCGGATTGCAGGTACTGTAGTGGATGTCCGCACGGCAGGATTAAGCGAAACTGCACAAAGTGCAATGCGTGCCCACACGGCAGAAGGAAGTGCGAATGCCGATGGTGCACTCCATGTCCACACGGCATGCTGGAGCGACACTGCGCGCAATGCCACCCGTGCCCGCACGGCCACCTGGCTCGCAACTGCCGACTCTGCAGCGCGTGCCAACATGGGCATGTCAATTACAAATGCCGAAAGTGCAAAGTCTTCAAGGGATAGCTGCATAAGAATTGCTGTTCTGCTCGGGGGTTGTCATGGCAGAAGATGATATGTCAGCCGTGCAAAATGATGTGCCTGCGAGACTTTGCACACAAGGGCAAGCAGTGAACTGCAAACACACAGCAGTGGGGGTCATGGCGCATCGCCATTTCTTTTGTCTCTCATGGGTTTGGATTCAGGGGAGGGTCTTTTTGCCGCCTTTTTGTGGAAAAATGATCAACCCCCTCGTAGTGAAGGATTCCTTTTTGAGGGGCTCGCAACTTTTTCTCACCAAAGGTGGCAAAAAAAGACACCCCTAGGTTTGAGAGACCCCGAAAACCCAACCCCCCCCTCCCCCAGGCAGTCGGAGATGCCCTGTTTGGATTTGGGGTGTGTTGGGTTTGCTTCGGTGCTCGGCGCTCGGTCAGGAGTTCAAGACGGAGCCCAGCCGCCAACTCGAGGCGTGGCGGCTTATCCTGCAGCACGACAACCCGGCGGACGAGCGCTGGGCCAGCGCCGTCTCGGAGGCCGCAGGGCTGCAGCCGCAGGAATTTCGGGACCTGGGGGCTCCAAATGGGCGTGTCCAGTGTCAAAAGCGGACCTCCCCCAACATTTTGTGGATTTGCCTTTTGGTTTGCCCTTGACACCACAAGTTTGTGGTTTTGATGCTTTTTAGGTGGCCTCCTAGTGGGTGAATCGGTTCACTCTTTAGCTTGCCCTTGACACCACCAAAACAAAATGGGTCCGCTGAAAAGAAGACGAGCCAGCCACAAAAGGGTACCGACTCTAAAGTGGCCCCTTTAAGATGCAAGCACCTCGAACCCTCTGGATATGTAGGAACAGAGATTCCTCTAATGATGGCTCCATGGGTTCCACGTTTTGCAGGCTGGGATTTGGTGCCAAAAATCAAAGACTTCAAAAGGGACATGAAAAGGGGCCCTTGCGACTAGTTCACAGCCCGACCGCAAATCGCAGCGCCTGTGGTTTTTGGTCAGCCGTTGGCTGTCGGCTACAACCACCGCGTTGATCCCCCATTTAAATGTGGGTGTGTGCTTTTTTAAGGGGGCACCTACTTGTTTGTGCGGTTTCAAGCAAGCCCGACAGGAAAGTCAGTCATTTGGGTGTCCGCATCCTACAAAAGATGAACCCAAATAGGGGTCTAACCTTTTTTCAGCCCCCCCCCCCCAAAAAAAAGGGACATCGTGGTTTTCCTCTTGGCTCCCCCTTTCAAAACACCACTAAACAGGGTCCGGGCGACTCAAACCCCCGCCACCCCTCGGCCATCAGGCCGTAGACCTCGTCCCCTTCGCCGGCCTGGCGCTTTGCCTCTCCCGGCCCCTGCGCCCTGCGGAGCCGAGGAGCGATCCATCGATCCATCGAGCCGAGCCGCGCAGTCGGCGAGCCGCGAGGTCGACTGAGGCGCTAGGTGCCCCAGCAATTGCTGCCAACTTTGACCGTTTCTTTTTTGGGGTTGGGAGGGGCCCCACTTTGACCGTTTCTGTTTTGGGATTTTGGGTTCCCCTACAAAAATCGACTACAGAAGAAAGTTGGTACCCTTATTCTAAACTCTGTACTGGAGGACCTAAGAGGTGGTTTCGTCACGTCGACCGATGGCAAGGGGGAAATTGGAAGGGACAACTTCCCCCTTGCCATGGATGAGTTTTGGGTGCGGATCTTTGGCTGGAAAGAGATTTCTTGAAGTATGGTAGATAATTTTTGAGACCGGGTTTTGAAGTTTGAATATGACTCAGGTGGATGTACATACACCGCTTGCAGCACCCTTGCATGAATGACCCCAGGCTTGCTGTTTATACTCCTATCCCATAAAGGAGCACATGCCCAATTTGCGAATCCAGCTTCAAAGTGGGAGGGGAAATAGGGAACAAAGACAAAGGGGTGTGAAAAAGGTGTACTTCCACGAACTCTGACGCTGAGATAGTTCCAAGGGAAGCTTGAGTGGAAGTTTGACAAATCTTTGTGTATTTGAGAATTATCATGTTAAGACTGGTGAAGCCTAAGTGAGAGAAACTTGCTCCAGGAAGGGCTTGAATCGCGGCAACCGGAATAGGAACATCTTCCTGGCCTGAAGTTGTTTGGTCTCACGTTTCAGCAGGGGTGAGAAACCTGAATGAGGGGAACCAGAGCAATCATGTGACGCAAGAATCTAAACAGGGGGCTTTCTGAGTCCACACACACACACACACCCCATCCTGAGAAGAAATCTGTTTGAACAAGTTGCATATCTTGAATCGCCCAAACCTCTTCATTGTTGCTTATTGTGGTTTAGCGGGAACTCTTCTAGGGTTTGGATCAGATTCGTTTGGGCTTCAGATTGTGGTGGCCCCCAAAATCCATATAGACTTATTTTCAACACACCCCACGTACTTGGGTTGGGTTCTCCCGTTTCACCTAGCCTCCGGGGCCTTCCGTTGTCAGGCATGTTTTAATGGTTCACCCGAGGCTCAGAGGGGTGTGCTCACGCTGTCTACTCGGTGTTTCCCCGGAGTTTCTGACATCGCCCGGTGGATTCTCCTGGGTTCCATTGGCCATATGTGTCTAGGGACATGAACACATGGACATCCCACATCCCACATGTCCGGTGGTCCTTTTGGTTTCACACAAAAACCAACCTTGAATGGGCCTTAAATGGGCACCAAGCCCGGAAAAAGATCAGGTATATATACATATCCATCGCTGTTGGTGTATTTCTGAGGGCAGCAACCCCGGTTCCATCAAGTTCCAATTGCAATACTGCACCCCCGGATTTGATCATACTTATCTATCGAAGGCTTCCACAAGTGAAAGGTTTGTTTGACAAGCAAACCTCAAACAGGGTAATTACACTGTATTTGGTATTTAAAACAAGTAAATCAAGAGAACATACCCCCACACACACACACACACCCAGCCGCACACATTAGCGTGTCACACACACACACACACGCTCACACTCCCAGCCACACACTTGGGCATGTTTGTTTTAGGGGACCCTCCAAAATGGCCAAACGGTTTTCTTCCTTTAGTTTCCCCAGCAAAACAGGGATACCCTTCGCCTCAAAAACCATGGCAGGCTCATTTGGATGAATGGAACTCGAGGATCATTCCAAAACAATCAGCTAGCCCCCCAAAACAAAAGCAAGACATAAATCCACAGAAAGCATCAAAGGCCACAGAACAAAATCACACAGCCATCCCAGCCGATGCAGATGCCAGCCGCACACACACACACACACCTCCCCAGCTCGCTTCGAGTGAGAGGATCAGCTGCTTCCTGCCGCTGCCCATCCGCAGCTCGTTGCCCTTTCTGATCAACGCCAACTTCTGCCTGCGGGACCCGTCCTCCCCGGACCGCCTGGACCTGGCGCGCCGCCCGGCGGAGCTTTGCCGAGCCGCGCGTTTCGTTCGCCGGGGTGTTTCGTTCGCCGGGCCGGGCGTGGCGTGGCGTTTGACCGTGTGGAGCAACCAAAAACGAAGAGGTGGAGGTTTTCACGGGGAAACCCAAAAGGGAAAAGCCGAAGAAGGTAAAGCTTGGTTTCATGCGCACAGGTACAAGGTTTCACCTGAAACTAACAGGGGCCCCGCTGGGGTGGTGCAATTTTTTGGGTCCAGCCCACTGAGGACAAGGCGAGAAGTCCGATTGGAACCTGCTGCTGCTGCGGAACATCGTGGAGCCCTTGATCTGCAGTCTCATCCAGGACCTGAGAGGGAAACACATCAAGGGCCACCAAGATAGAAAGGCACATACCCTCCCAACTAATACGGAAGTGCACAAAACAGGTCCCTTTCCAAGAGGAAAGTCGTTTTTCTACAGGGGTCTGTGCACTTCCATGTTGGTCGCTGGGAGGGTACAATGGGAGGGTACGCTGGGAGTTAACAACTGGGTTTCCTCGGCGCGTCTTTCTTTTTAGCTTTGTTTGAGCGGCCATTTGCCTTGTTGGTCGCCACGTACCTTTTTCTGGATTGTGTTTCATTGCAAGAAGGAGCGGCTTAGGTGGAAAACAGGAACTAGAAATGAGTTTGTTCCTTGAGGGTACTCCATTTGAGGTTGGATTGAATAGAAGAAATATTAGCCACATGTTCGGAGTTGCTTTTTCTTTCGACACATACCCAAATGGACTTGGAATTCCTACGTTCGAACGCAACCCACTCCAACGCTGTTGCTTTTTCCATCGCAGCCCAACTCCACCCGCTTGCACGCAGCAAGCGCCCGCTCCGCAGCCAGAGAAAGAAAGACATTGCGAGGAACCTCAACTGGAAGTTGTACGGAATTGGAAGCAATTAAAGCTTTGGTGCATGTTGCTTGGCTGTTAGGACTAACTTTTTGCCAACTAATGAAACCACTAAAAGTTAAACACGCAGGGGAGCAGAAAGCAACCGAGAAAGCACAATGAAAGGAATTTAAAGGAAATCGAAAGGAGACTGAAAGGAGTTCCTGGAATCGAAAGGAATTGGCGAGAGGATTGAAAGGAAAATACCAGGGAATCGAAAGGGCGAAAGGACATGGAAAGGAAACGGACTTTAAATGGAAGTTGCAAGGAATTGAAAGGACATTGGAAGAAAACAAAAAGGAAATTGAAAGGAGTCTGAAAGGAAACTGCACGGAATTGCAAGGACAAGGGAAGGACATTAACAGATTTTGAAAAGCATTCCTAAAAGGAGTTGAACTAAAATTGAGCAAAATTGAAAGGAAATGGAAAGAAATCGAAAGGCACTGGAAAGAGTTGAAAGGACATGAAAAGAGATTGAATGGAACTTGAAAGGAATTTCAAAGGACATGGAGTTGACAGAAATTGACACATGGAAGAAACTGAAAGGAATATAGAATAAAGGATTTGAATTGAAAGAAGGCTGACAGGAATTGAAAGGACATAGAAAGGAACGTGAAAACAAATCCACGGAGTTGAAACTACGTCAAAGAGAGTTGAAGAAACACTGAAAGGGAATGGACAGGGAGTTGAAAGGAAACTGAAGGGACTTCAAAGAGATGGGTGTGTGGTTTAAAGGAAGTGTTCATATTTTCAACAAAACTAAAAAGGACATGGGAAAAATGCAAGGAACCGGAAAGGAATGCAATGGAATTGAATGGACATTTCACGGCAATTGGAGTGGAGATCAAATGGAAGCGGAAGGGACTTTAGAACATAATTTGATTGACAACTGAACAGATCGAAAGGAACCTGCTAAGGGATATAAATTACATGGACAAGGAGTTGAAAACAACTGTACGGAATTGAGAGGACAACGACTGAGAGGAATTGCAAGGACTTTGAAAGGACTTTGAAAAGACCCACCATGTTTTTTGCGGAAGCAACTTGCCCAGCATCTTTTGGCGACAGATTTTGGAGCACCGAGCCATTTGGCGGATGCCGCGCGAGGAGCAGGCGGCGGCGGTGCAGGGCTTCAGGTCCCAAGCCGCGGGGCCCACCGCGAAGCGCGAGGCGATCGATGCGATTCGCCCGGGCGGGGGGGGGGTGGGGGGGGGTTGGGGGGGTTGGGGGGGTTGGGGGTTAGGGGGGAGGGTTGGGGGCGGGGGGGTTGGGGGGTTGGGGGGGGAGGATCGAGGCGCGGGTTGGCTTTTTTTTGGGGGGAATGGGATGGGTGGGTGTCGAAAAAGGGCCGGTGGACACTGACAAAAACGTGTTCATGCTTGTTTTTGTTTGTTGTTTTTGGATGTTTTGTCGTCGTTCGAAACCGACCTGAAAAGGGTACCCTAGATTTGGAGGTTGAATGGGTGAACAGGGGGATTGGCCTCTTTTTGGTTCTTTGCACAATAGACTCTAGATGTCCTTTAAACCCAGCAGACCTTGGGGTGTATGTTGGGGGAGTGGGGGAGGCTTGGATCCTATGATTCGGACACGCGTCCCAAAATGGGCTCGGATCTTTTGGCGTGCTTGGTTTCCTCGCCGGATTCAAGTCGTTCAGTGTGTTTCGTTGGGTGTCCGCTTGTCGTCCTTTGGGTTTCCCGTTGAGGGGTGCGGTGTCCGGAAGTGGGTTCTCGTGGGCCCCTGGTTCATGATGACGACCAAAAGCACAGGAAACCCGCAGGGAAACCAGACATAATAGACTGGGAAGCCTCAATTCATGCAAGGGATTAAAGCTTTTTGTTTCAAACGACTTTTCACAAAACGTGCCCATTTGGCTCTGTTATATTTGGAGAACCCATTTTGGTTGGGGTGAAAGGGAAGCCACAAGCAAGCCACAACTTTTCGGCTCTTCGCTATGAGATTCCGTTTTTGCCGGCGAAGATGCGGGCGGGATTCCTCGGGCTTCCTCGGCCATTTTTGCTGCGCCAGGCGGCGGTTTGGGCAGATGGGATTTGCTGCCTCATGCCTTGCAAGCCGCAGCTGCCGCAGAGCTTGCGGCATGGCCAGACTTAACTGCAAGGTATGTTTTCTTCCCGCGTACTCTTTGGGTTTTGGATCACCACCTTTAATGGTGACAACTGATTACCCCCTCTCAAGGTTGACAAGGTTTGGACAAATGAGATTTTTGGGAGGACCCCCCTGATTACTCTGGAGCCCCTTCGGTCCTCGTCCTCTTACTTCTGGTCCCTTCGGGGCAGTAGGACTTCAAAAGGCAACATCATATTTTTGGGGGGTTTGAGCCCAAAAGGGCCCTGATTAATCGCGGGGGGTTTTCTGTTAATGAGGGGGGACTGGCCTCCAAGGGGGGTCCCCTTTGTGAGCTTGAAAACCTTGTCATTTTAAGCAAATTTTAAGAAGGAAAAATGCATTTCGGGGGAAGCACATTTTTTGGGAAAACTTGAGGGGTTCAATAGTGACTTAGTATTGGTGGTTTTAAGCACAGACTCAGCAACTACCAAGCAAGAAGGAAAGCACCTTTCTAGCAGGTTTTGTTGGCTTGGGGGCTGCAGAGGGATACCTTTAATCAGGGGGGTTTTGGGGAGGGCTCAAAAATTATTGGGTAGTTTTTTGTTTTTTCTTAAACAAAAAATATTGTTGGCCCTTTACTTTAGTGTTGGTTGGAACCTGGGGGGGAAAAGGGGAAACCGTTCATCGGGGGGTTTACTAATCGTCTCCTGACATTATAGACATTTCGTTCCTGATCAACAACTGGTCACTTGGCTTTTGGTTCAACTGCCGCTTTTCGTGGCAAACCAAGGCAACCAGTTCACTTTTTGCAGGTCCATCTCGTCCGAGGCAAGAGCTCTTGAATTTGCCGTCCATCTACCAGTCGCTCGCAACAGCGCCGCTCTTCCCGGCCCTGCCCGTGGCTCGCTCGGCGTTTTTGCCCCCCCCCCCCCCCCCCCCACCCCCCCCGAAGACCAAGGTTTGGGATATGAGTATGCAGGCTCCTTATTTGTTGACTACCTCGGGGTAGACTTAAACCCAGGGGTGTCCCTTTTGGGGAATCCACCGCCCCTGGGTTGAAGTCTGCCTTGTAGAAAACGGGGCCCTGAGTATGTGTCAAAATCCCACTCCCAGAGGTGCGGACCGGTTGAGACAAGTTGAGACTTGTCCTGGCCAATCCACTTAGGAGCTCAACCATTGTGTGGCTTGCAACCTGTTGGTTTTCCTTGGAGCCAATGTGAAGAGGTACCCTCAAATATAAATATATATATATATGTATATATAATATATAGAGTCATTTGCGGAGCAACAGCTGGATTTCCGTGGTAACTTCATGCTGTTTTGGGGTTCATGCATCATACCCTAAAATAAGTTTGTAGTTGGAGGGTATGTTTTTAGCCTCTTCGGTTGAACACACAGATTTCCTACGCCAGCGCGCGGGTGTACCCAAGGGAAGCTCCTGTTTATTCCGGTTAGTTTATCGGCTTGGATTGGGGGCTTGGGGGTTGAACCCCTGGTTACGGGCAAGTGGGAACCCATCCAACCTCCACACCTCCAAACCACCGATCCGGCTCCATTTCACCAATTGGAAGCTAGCTGATTGGTCCATTTACCTTTGCTTCTGTGATCCATGCGATTTCGACTGGGAGGAATCGCCTCCCCAGATCTTCGTTTTTGCCATGCCCCCCTACCAAAAATGATTCCTGGGTGCCAGCTCAACCTTGGAACAATTGGTGTTGAAACATGTTGCTGCCGGTTTGGATTGTCAATTACTTTCGGAGGTTAGAAACCAGGTTACAACACCATGAGGAACATTTTGAGGATGTCACTTTAATTATGACTAGCCCAACGTTCAAGTGGAACAAACACCAAAATGTGGAGCGTCCCTTTTGATATCCCTAGACCCTGGCGCGTTTCAGGGAAGTCTAGGCGGTCTTTGGGGAGGGTTCATGACCTCAACTAGGGCGTATGCTGGGGCATAGAACCCCCCCATGTCAGGTCGGCGAGCGGCGGGACTTGGCTGCGCTGCTGGACGTCGCGCGCAGCTCGTTGCTCTCCTTCGCGGACTCCGTGCAGCCGCTGGGAGAGGCGATCCGGCGCGATCGAGCGGATGGGTGGCGATGGTGAGAAAGGAGGTGTGAAGCCCCACGAAGCCAGAAACATGGGCACCATGGTGTACCAGAAAGGAGGGATACCAAGGTTTTACCGTTTGCCCCAGAGTAAAATGGTGAGTTAGAGTCAAACCTGGGAAAATGACGATTGGTACAGCCCTTTGGTAACAGGTTTGCATCATGACACAAGTGTTTGCCAGGGAAAGCCGGGTATGAGGTGAACATGTGTCAACCAAATCAGGATTGATCCGCATGGCGGAAAAATGGTTACTTGGGATGGGCAGAACCCATTCCGGACACCGCTCAAGTGGGTTATCCGAGTATTCACAGGGAATCTTGCCAGTCCAAGAACATTGGGCGCAAAAAGCTCAACCAAAATCGAGTGGGTCTTTGGATCACCCTCAAAGCAACCCACAAAAAAGATGGAAAACCAGACGTAAGTAACATTGCGGGCAATATCTCAGTGTCGGGTTTGAGGGGTTGAGGTAGAGCGTACATAACATACAACAACAAGTGCACATAGCATACATGCACGGTTATATATATATATATGTAGACATATTATAAATATGTTTTATCGTGCATGTATACTATATGTTTAGGTACATGCATATACACATATACATACACATGCACATATATATATATATATGTATACAAATACATATATATATATATATACATACTTGTATAGATGTGTGTTTGCTGCTCATCAAGGCCTGTGGTTTTCCCCCCAACCACTGCCGGATCGAGCGAGTCCCAGGTGGCCAGCGAGGCGCAAAGGCAAGCCGTGCACGAGTTCTTGGGCCAGCTTACCTCGGAAGGCATCGGGGGTCGCTTTCGCCCCAGGTTTTGGTTGGAAAGTGACAGGCTGTCCCAGCCTTGGTCGGGCCTTGTTTTTTTTTTTTTGTTGTCTCTTTTTTCTCCGGGATTGGGTTGGAAGCGACTTTTTGGACCCCTCCAAAAGTGGCGATTTCAACGCAAACCACCAGTGGGGAGGTTCAAGATGGAACTCAAACAGAGAAGCCCACTGACCCTCAACTGATCAAGGGGCGTTTTTTTGACTTCCTCTTTGATGCTCCGTGATATCCCTGGGAGGCTTCAGTCCCGAAAGCACAACTAGGCAGCATGGGTTTAAGTGTGGCAGGGTTACTGTGAGTCTCAAAATGACCAAACCACAAGGGCAACTACCCTTGACAGCTTGGTCGCAACCCGAGTTGTTCAGTTGCACCCTCTACTTTCTTTTTTTTTGCCTGGTGGGTTGCCACTAAAAGTTAGGCCCTACAAACTTCCGCGTTTCCCGACCCCTTTCGGCCAAAAATGCTCCGGGCCGGCACGGAGCTCCAGGGGCCACCAGCAAGAAGCTCCTCTGGCTTGGCTTGTCCTCAGCTTCTCCCTCAAAGGCCCCCCAAAAACAGAGAGGCTCTGCCTGGGCTTATCCCTTCCCCGGTCCAAACTGAGAACTGGAAACCAACAGGGAAACCGTCATTCCATGTTTGAAGGAAAAATGGCGGACTCCATTTTCTGGGGCGCATTTGTCGTTCTTTCCTGGGGGACCCAAGAAAAGTGCCTCACTGAGTTCTGAATCATCCAGCTTCAGGAATTCTTTGATTTGAAGCCGATCAGAGCCACCCAGAAACCTCCAAAGTGAGAAACATCTCTCGGAGCTCAGGCGGGCGCGCCTTTCTCTTCTGCTGCGTCACCCAGCCCGTGGCCGCTGAGTTTGCCGCGGCTCAGGCGGGGTGGACATCTCATCGCAGCGGTTCGGGCACGAACGGGCGTCTCGTTTTTGGAGGGTGCAACTGTTTCACACTTGGCACCGGACGCCGAACAGGACATGCCATAGTTTGGGTGTGTGTTGTTTGTTTAGGAACCCTGAAAAGTGTGGGCTTCACTTTGGGTTCCAACAAGTCCAACATCGACAAGGGTATAGACGACGGGTGTCCCGAAAGCATTTAACTGCGCGAAGCACGTTGTGCGTTTTATTTGGAGCTTGGACCCACCCGTGTTTTAGACAAACTAGCAGCGCGCGCTGCAAACACACCATGCTGTTTGTGTTTTCTTTGCACAAGTCTGTCTCAATGCGCTCTGTGCATATCAGCGGAATCTTTCTACAAGTCGTTTGCGTATGTGTCTTCTTGGGAAAACTGTCGTTGCAACTTTCTGCAACCTGCCAATCCGCAATACTTGCGCGCGTAGGCACATTAAACTACATTGGGATTCTTTGGGGCGGGAGCTATGCGATTGGAGCCCTTTGTTCAAGATGTTCGAGCCGGAGCTGGGACCCCTGACTCTGCACACTTCGCCTTGCGCTTCGGAGTGGACCAGGGGGGATTCGAGCGGAGCCTCGCGCAAACTCTTGGGCGTTCCGAGCTTCGCAAATTAAACAAGCAGCCCCACCAGTGTGGACTAGCTCAACTGCCTCAAAGGTGGCGAGGAAGCATGAACCCCCTGAATGATGCGAAGGGTCACTAGTTGAAACTCCAGGCCCAGATGTTGAGTTGGATTCCTTGCGTGGATGACGAGCACTCGTGACAAGATTCAGGTCCAGCGCAAGGCTGTGGTCAGCCGAAATCTGGTGCTGTCCTGTTTGGAGCAGCACAAAGACCGAGCCTTGGATTGACCGAGCCTGGTTTCATGAAGTGTTTGGATTGATGTAGACTAGGGCATGCCTAGGTATAAATAAATAAATATATATATATATACTGTATATATATGTTAGATGAATAGATGTATGTTTGTTCAAGCAATAGTGGTTTAAGCCATGGTTTTAGCAGACGGGTTTCGTTCGCACGGGTGTTTCAACCATGATTTGAACAACGGTTGTTCTATCTTCCTTCTCTTGGTTTTCGTTCAAGGGCGCCTTGTTAAGACCATGCGTTTGACCGCCTAGAAATGAACTTCCGCTTTTTGGACTCCATGTTAATCATAACTTCAAACAGTCGGTCAGTTCAATCCATGGTTTGAACAAACGAGCTTTATTTACCCAGCGGCTTGAACGATCTACTTACTCGAAAGGAAGTGCCCTTTGATTAGTTGACCGCCCCAACCAATTCGCGTGCTTTCTTTTGGTTTTCCTGTTACCCAACCATAACCACCCCCAACTTTTGGTTTCGGTTTCCCTTTGCACAAACCCGAAAGGGTGCCCTCATAAAGGCCCACCCAAATGCTGTCCAAACCTCACCACTTCAAAGGGGTTCATACCAACCTATTTCTTGAAAGTGGAATAAACCCATGCGAAGTGCCCGGTCGTCTGCTTCTTTCCGAGGCGCCGCTGGTTTGAGTGCCGCGCAGAGTGCTCAGCTCCTGGGCTTCGTGCTGCAAGACGTGGACCTCGCGCCCAAGCTGCAGAACCTCCCGCTGGCGCCCCTGTGCCACGGCCGAACTGGAGAACCCATTTGCGGCGGGGTCGTCTTTATTTTTAATATATATATATATATATAAATACAGATATATACATATAAATACATATATATATATATATATATGCATGTTCATTCCCCCACAGATCAACAAGGTGGGTTTTGGAAGGGGGGTAGCATATGTATATATATATATATACATATATATATATATATATATATTGATTTTGTTGTGTTTTGTTTGTTTTTGTTGCCTTTGTTGTCAAAGCTTGAAGGAACAAACAAAAAGCAATCAACATAGCCCCCCCAGTGTGTCGGTTTCGTTGAAAGCTTAAAAGGGGTTAACCAAAAGAAGGCAGGCAAAATAGGAGTAAAACCCCGTTTGGACATGGCCAGATGACTTGACTCACTGTTTTTGTTGATAGGGGGCACCGACTTTGACAAGGCCAGACTTGACTCACTTTGGTTTCTTTCTTTGAAGGTTGAAAGGGATGCCAAAAAGCAGCCAATCAACATAGGGCCCCCAAAATGTGTCGGTTTCGTTGTTTTGCACGGCACCCTGTTTTGGAGTAGTTTGACACACGGTCGTTTTGAGGGACACCTGGTCAAAAATTAATCAAACTGGTGGGCCTCCGACTTTGGCACTGGCCAGACTTAAAGCCGTGGTGTTTTTGGCTTTTTGAGGCGCCCTTCGGTTTGAAGGGACACCGAAAGAAGACAACTCACATCATCTTTCAGCCCGACTGCTGCGCGCCCGGGCCAAACTCAGTTTGTTTTTCTCTCACCTATTCCAGGCCCCAATTTTGACACGCCCATTTGGGCCCCGTACAGTACCACTTGTCTCACATGCTCGCTGCGGCCTTTTGGAGTCGGCATCTTGACTTGAATGACTTCGTTCGGAGTACGGGGACGATTGATTCCCCCAATGAGGTGATCTCCCGTCGAGGGTTAGGTCCTTGCGCCGGGGATCCTTCAATCCAGGTTGCCTTCAGTGGTTTGGATGTTGGGGAATTTGACCCTCTTGTTCTTGAGGATAAATGAAAAACCACCGCAGAGGGAAGCCGAGCATTTTCCGTCCTGTTCCATTTGGGTTTGTCGATGTGTGAGGCTCGGAAGCCTGTTTTGGGTGGTTTTCAAAACCCTGCATTCTTTTTTGGGGGGGGGTCCTGTATACGTCACACATTTCAAGACACACTCAGTTCAACCCGCGCAGATCAGTCAAGGTGCGATGGCCGGGTCGCAACCTTCGACCCCAACAGTGGGCCGCTGCTCGCCGTTGGGGGCATCCGATGGTTTTACACGCCCGTATACACTGGTTGGCACATGTCGCTTGCATCTCTGCCCTTCCTTCAAACTGCTTGGAAAACGGTCGAGTTTCCAACAACCTAGACAGAAGTGCTTCACTTTTTGCAGGTCAGCCAACTAAAAACACGTTGTTCCTTAGAGCTTCTTGCAACTTATAGCGAGCAAGGGTGACACGAGCTCACTCGAGGAGTTTTTTTTCATCCAGGAATTGGGCGAGTTTGCCCAGATAGAGATCTAATACGGCCATGAGTTTAAGAGTTGCAACCACCTCAAAAGTGGTTGGACATATATCCAGGTCCCAGGTATGATCTCCTTGGATCCCTTCGAGCTCTTTCCCACAGACCCCCCCCGGCCATGCCTCATTTGCCCGGTAGCTTGCAGCCTTCGATCCTTCGGTTCGGCTTCTATTCCTTGGGTGTTTCGCGTGGCTGGACCTGTTTCCCCCAGAAATGAATGAAATGGGGGTCCGCCCGAAACCAGGCACGTCCTGGAAAAACCGAACGAATAGATCCACTCCCCCAAACGCTGGCACTTTGGATTCTGGGATTCTCTTCCTTTTTCCGCCCAAGAGACGCGGGTTCAAGCCTTGAACCCCCTCCCCATGTTTCGGCTGGTTCTCCAGGAATCCGCGGTTCCCTCAAGCCACAAGTTGGATTCCGGTTTCAGCTCCCGCTCCTATCGAACCCGCAAGTTCCTTTGGGGTGCCTGTTTCTTTGCGGCTCGGCAGCCTTCCGTTCAAAGGGGGTACAAACGGAAGGCAACATTCCTGATTCAATAAGGGTTCAATAAGGGTTCAATAAGGGTTCCTTATTCCAAAAGGAAGGGTTCAATAAGGGTCAAAGAGGTTCCCCGCATTCTACATTGCCCCTTTGGGTCAACTCAAGCATCACCGTTGGCCAAAAAGCTCCAGTGACTTTCCTGTGGAGCCACTCCTAGGCTCTACCTCGCCAGCGACGGAGCTTCCGCTTCCGCCGGCGACGGAGCTGCGAGCGCGCAGCGGGTCCTGCAGCAGTTGACGCCGAAGGCGGTGCTGGACATCTCGGCCTTGGATGCCAAGGCCTTGCCGGCCTTGCGCCAGCACGCCTCTCGGTCTAGACCGGACAGCGAAGTGAACCATGGACTGTGGGGAACCAGATCTGAATCTGTTTGTTTGCTTTTTTTGCAAACTGGCGGCAGTTTGCCGGTAGCTGGTTTCTAGTTGTTTGTTTGCTTGTTTGGCTTCATGAATCAAATTGTACCCTCCTGTTCACTAACATAAATGTGAGTGGATGGGAGGGTATTTGATTTTGTTGCTGTTTCTTCGGTTTTCCTTTGTGTTTTATATTTCACGTGTTTTTCATGTTGTTCTCACTTGCCCAAGGCCGACCTTGAAGCCTTTTGGTTTCCCTAATTTGGCCCATATGTCCGTTCTGGTCCCCGTTGGTCTAGATCGAGTGTTTGCTATGGTTGCTATTTTAGCTTCTGGTTTTGACTTACTTGGTGTATCTTGTTTTCGTTGGTTTACTGTCTTGTTGCTTGGCCTTCATCGTTCATCCCCCGGCCTTACCGCTGTTTTCCTTCAACCCCCGGGTTGTTTTTCGCTCTCCCGAAGCCGAGGCCGGGCAGTTGGGTCTCCACCCGGTGGAGACCTGCGAGCACCTGGGCGCCGCGCTGCGCGCCGCGGTGCCGCGGCTCTGCGCGGCGGCGGTGGAGCGGTCCTCCGTGTTGGCGTCCATCGATGAGACCTTGGGAGGCTGATTGGTACTGTACCGTACGGGGGGGGGTCCCAAGGTCCCAAGGGTAGGGGTGGGGGGGGGGGTCCCAAGGTGGTGTTGTCCAACGGTTTTGTGCGACGGGTTTTTTCGGGCTTGGTGGGGGGGAGGGGAGAGGTTCCGGTGTTGAGACGCCACTGCAAACCATGAAAGTTGTTTTTTTTTGTTTTTCGGGGGTAGTTCTTTTGGGTTGTGCGACGGTTTTGTTGGTTTGTGGCGGTAGGGGGCCTGGTAGGGGGAGGTTCATGGATTGAGGCTTTCAGGGTTCAGGCCGCTTTTTGGCGTCTTTTTTTGGGGTTTTGCTGGTTCCGTTTGGGGGTTCCAACGGGAGCGGGGAGTCCAATAGTTGTGTGGTGGTTTTGCGACGGTTATGTTGGTCTTTGCGGGGTGATGCTGGCCGTTTGGGGTTGCTGTTTGTTTGGGTGACTTCGTGGTTGATTTTCTGGGTTCGGGGGTTTTCTCTTTGTTGGCTTCTGTTGGCTTCTGTTGGCTTTGTTGGCTAGAAGGAACCGTACTGGTATTGCAAGGGGCGCAAGTTCTGCAAGGAGACTGGACCCTGGTTTTCTTGGTTTACTGGTAGTATGTGTGCTTCAAGCGTTTTTTTTGTGCGGGGGTCTTTGGATTGTTCCTGTAAAGTGGCTGGATATCCCACTAAACCCATGAATGTAGTCAGGACACGTTGGTTTTCTTTGCGTTTGCCGGAGTTTTGCCGGTCGCCTCCTTTTGACGATTTTGTATCCGCTGTGGGTAGAGTATGAAACATCTGAACATAGTCTTTTCTGTGTACCTCAGATGTGGGCCAAGCAGTGGGGTGATGAGTATTTATGGGGTATGGGTCTCATTGGCGCATATTGATAAGCTCAACATCACTGAAATCCAGCGGTTTGTTTCCGTTTCAGGAAATCCACCGGGCCCCGTGGCTTTTTTGGTACACTTTGCGGAAGACCAGGTTTTTTTGGAGTGGGTGGCTTGGAAAGGTGTGTCGGGGCTTTCGAGGGACGCCGGGACGCCGGGACGCGCCATTTTCTGACGCCCAGCTGAGCCCTCGTCAAGAAAAGATTGCAGTTTGATCGGAGAGGCAGGGGCCGAAATATCAAGGCTTAAACGTGAGATGAAAAGGAGTCCCAAAGAGACAAACGTGCTCGTCCACTAGCGAATTGGGGAATTCGACATCAGGCTTGGGATGTGTCAAAGCAGAATGAGTTGGATCCTTCTGGAAAAGGACGGCTAGGAACTGGAACCAACGTGAAAACTAGCTTTGACCCATTTGCCCTGTATAATGCTTTGTAGTACCAAAAAGCGTCAGTGGGGATAACCGCAGGGTATAAGACTAGAACTACCATCATTGGACATAAACCAGAAGCTTTTTGTCAGCCGTTACGTGGACCCAATCGGCAACATGTCAGCACAGCTTGGACCTGTTGAGGGTGGTTGGAGCCACGAAGTTGAGTGGCAACCTTCCCTTTGTTCGAATCGACAGGGTCCACCCATTGCACGGGTTCCCCTTGGCCACCTGGGTCACTGGTGGCAACTCGGAAACCAGCAACCATAGGGGTATACATTCCCCCGATTGGCTCTTGCTTGTGGTTTGGGGTCGTGGAATTCATTTTACACCACCTTCTGAAGACGCAGCCTTGTTGCGACGAGAATGGGACCTGCCACACGTACCTCATTTCGCTGTACTTACGTCGGATTGGTGGAAGGGGAATCCGCAGCGGGAGGGGTGTACCCTGTCTAGAATGAACTTTGTCGTGTTGGCTGAAGATTGATTCGGCTTTGCTCGCAATTGTGTCTGTGTGCGTGTGTATGTTTGTGCGTGTTTCTGTGTCTGTGTCTGTGTCTGTGTCTGTGTCTGTGTCTGTGTCTGTGTGTGCTTGTGCTGGTGCTGGTGCTGGTGCTGGTGCTTGTGTTTGTTGGTGTTGGTGTTGGTGTTGGTGTTGGTGGTGGTGGTTGTGCTTGTGGTAGTGTTTGTGTGTGTGTGTGTTTGTTTTTGAGCGTACCCCTCTTTTGGAGGACCCCCACTTTGACAAAACGCCATACTGCTTCTCAAAATAGGGACCCCTTTCGGCTGGTTCACCTTGCACGGGTCCCCAATTTGGAGAAACGCCGAGAGGACGGCTGCTGGGTGGAAGCTACCGCCGGGCTTCTGCGGTGTCCATGCCTCAGGTCATGTCTCACTCCCCGGGGTGTCCACCTGGACGTTTTGTCTCGTTTTCGGGCTTGCCAAAACGTCCGGGGAAGTGGCAAAGACAATTTGAGTTGTGGCAAACTCGGCCCTTCTCTGGAGGAACTGGGAAGACATGCGGGTTGCAAACCAACAATTCAGACGGTTTCTGGCCAATTCAATCGGACATTGGCCTTTGAAGGCATGTATGTCCTCACTGGACCCTTTGGAGGGATTAGGATAGGCCAACGGAGCCTTTTGAGGCTCCAGCAAGACGGCAAGCGGTTGCATCACTGCTACCCTTATCAATTCATCAGCCCTGCCAAAGGTAACACTTACTTCCTTGAACCGGGTTTTCCTTCGGGATATATTTTCGCAGCTGGGAGACTGGGAAAAACTTGGATGCTGTTTCGGAAACCAGCAAAAAAAATATGGGACCGGACGCCACAGCTGGGTTTCCGGCGCCCATTTCAGTGGGTACTCGCCGAGCCTAGCTGGACATCCATGGGGTACTTAAAGTTTCAGGGACCGACCCCGTTTTCAAAACATGCATCCAAATGCGCCGTATTTTTGCTTTTCTCACGTTTTTGCTGATTTTTTAAAGTGGAGTGAAGTTTGTGGGAAGACCAAAGGGGACAACTCCTGGGACAAGCAATGAGGTTTGTTTCAGTTAGATACCTCCAGTTGGGAAATGGGCGTGTCGTTTTGTGAGGGTACCTCTGTTCAGGTTGGTTTAAAGAGAAAGGGACCGCCACCAGTTTTGGGGTACCCCTATTTTGGCACACACCCAAATACTGGGGATGGACACACTCCCGCACCACAGCTATATCCCAGAAAATGCAAAAATCAAATTCCGCGCGGATCGATCGGCACCATGTACCTAGCAACTGGGAAGCGGTTTTTGTCCATCCGTAGGGGTTCCTCCACAACAAACCTGCGTATTAAAACCACGGTTTTGCCCGAGGTACCTCCTGCTGGAGTCCCCAAAAAGCATCACTTCTCCCAAAAAAAGGGTCCTCCCCCAAAATGGCGACGGTGTCCCTGTTGCTTCTATTTAGAACCACCCCACAACTCCATTTTGGGACACCAGTTTGGGAAACCAAAAGGGCCGAAATCCACTTTGCTCTGAACAAACACGACGCTTTGCTGCTCTCAGGTCGCTTGGCTTCGGCAACGAAGAAGCCGCCAACTCCACGCTCTGCGCTTTGTGGTCCTTCATGGAGCAGGCGACGCGGACTCCGAGCGGATCGAAGCGGAATCGGGCGTGGCCTTCAAATGTACCTTGGATGGGGTTAAAAGGCAAAAAAAGATGGGAGTTTGGGTATTTTCCTCTTTGGCTAGGAGTTACCTTTGTTTGCCTTGGTTTAAACAAAGGCGAACACCCTGAACCGGAGAGGCGATCGTGCTGTGACTTGAACCCATATGCTGACATGTCGGACTGACATCCGACCGAGCCAAGTGTCCACTCGTGAAAGTGTCTTCGGAGTTTCGGAATAAGCGCCAATACTCCCAACCTCGCTTTGTATCATATGCTTATGCACAAATGTATAATATATTGACATGTATTGTATGCTACAGGTATTATATACTACAGAGGGCTTGACATTGTGGGGTTGACATGAATTCAGTGTGCCCAGGGTTTCAGCCGCATGGAGGCAGCTTGCACAAGCAGTTGTGCCAAGACTTGCCAAGCAGCAAACAGGACCAGATATTTGTTCAGGTTTCCTGTTCCACATACAGACAGACATTTCCACGCCATGGCTGATGCGCTGTCATTAGAAGATGAGAGAGCCCGGCACCACGCCAGACGCTTTCGAGAAAAGAGCGCTGCAGCTGTTCTGCATCGCTACGAGCTGCAGAGAACGCAGATGAGCCGGCCACAACTTGAGCAACATGCCTTTCACGTGGCTTCTTGGCTTGTTGCGCTGCCCGAGGATGAGGTAATGCAACATCACAATGGCCTTTCCGTGGTCACCTTGTTTGTACGATACTTGGAGTCATTGGATGGCCCTGATGACAGGCCAGCTGGCGCCAGATTGGCTCGGATTTTGGCACGAGTGTCTCAAAACATCCTCTGCCTTCCTGGCGATGATCCAGTGGTAATACAGCTTCAACAGCAGATCAGCAAGCATACGCCACTGGAGGAGCTGGTCCCCAAACATCGTTCACTTGCTGATGAGAAAGGTGCTGAATGTGAGGATGTTGAAGCCAAGGCAGTGCGGCTGATGCAGAGGGCCATCCAAAGATGGCAGAACAGCGGCTGCCGAGAGACGTATGTCAACAGCCTGGAGCAGGAACTTGCAGAGTCGGAAGACCCTGCCACACTTCGGAGGATTCTGCGCCGCGCCGTGGCTGCCGTGTCACCGCCACGGCGCAAAGGCAATGGTAATAATTTGCTTGCTTGCAGCTCGTCGCAGAGCGAGCTGCAGTCCAGGCTGCGGTCACTGGTCCTTGCATGTTTGGACGGCTTGGATTTGACAGATTCGTCATTGGCACCAGCGCTGCGGTGCTTGCAGGCACATGTGCAGAAATTTCAGGAGCTTCTCGTCAGTGAGAGCTCAGTGGCCAGCCAACGGCAGTGGCTTCGATTACAGGCAAAGTGTGCTGTCATCTCAGCTGAGGCATTACCGGGCCTAATTGCTTGTTCTACAAGCTTGTGTGTGGATGACAACAAGAGGAAGTGCAAACGGCCAGAGAACAGCTTGGCTTCAGACGGTCAGAAAGAAAAAGGCTCTGGGACAAGGAGATTGCAAAATTGTCCGCACGGCAAGGTTAAATCGGATTGCAAGTACTGTATTGGATGTCCGCACGGCAGGATTAAGCGAAACTGCACAAAGTGCAATGCGTGCCCACACGGCAGAAGGAAGTGCGAATGCCGATGGTGCACTCCATGTCCACACGGCATGCTGGAGCGACACTGCGCGCAATGCCACCCGTGCCCCCACAGCCGTCTTGCTGTGGATTGCCGACAGTGCAGTGGGTGCCAACATGGGCATGTCAAGCGCAAATGTCGAAAGTGCAAAGCCTCCAAGGGATAGCTGCACAAGAATTGCAACGTTGCTCAAAGGGGCGTCATGGTAGACAATGAGAAAATGAGACGTCAAGTTCTGTAATCGAAATCGAAACGGCCTTGGTAGCAGAAAAGGATGAGTTTGCGACACGATGAATGTGTGTATTGCGCTGCAAACGTCCGAGTTTGGATAGTGTTTGACGCAGAAAGAAACAAAAGGAACATGCTGATTTGATCCTATTTGTTCAGGGCTGGCCTTTTTTTTGTCACCAGCCTTTAGAACCAATGCTGGTACGTAAACATGTGCTCTGGGCGAGCTGTGCCGTGTCCATCTGGCTTATGAGTTTGTTTTGGCGGAAGTGCGCGAAGCAACCAATGGCGTGTCTTGTTCGTTGTTGTTTGGGGTTGCAAAGGGAGATCAAAAGGACACGAAACATTTGTCGTGCCCGTTTTGAGACGCAAGGCAACAACATCTCCGAACCCCGGCTTGAGGTCCTACCGGTTCTAACCGGCTTGGGCGTGGCACGCTCTGGTCGTTTGAGGTGGTTCTGCTGCTTGGGAGTTTTTGTTGAGGGAGCCCTTGTTGCGGGTGGAAAACCAAAAGGAAAACCGACCATTTTGCAGGTCCCCGAAATTGGTGGGAAGTGCATCGCGCGGCTAGAATTGGAACCTTCGCAAACTGCCAAATTGGACAGCAGGCGCCATTTGGTTGTACCAATGCAATCGAGTGTTTCTCAACATGGCGGGAAAGCCCCCCTCTGGCCGCTGTTTAAAGGGGAAGAAAGGACGCAAACCATTTTCAGGAGCCGATCCCTATTCTGAGATTCTGAGATTTTGAGGAAAACATAATCCGACATAAATGGGACCCGGCAGAAGGCAACTTTCATTTGCAAAGGGCTGCAAGCCAGACCCCTTTAGCTTCTGATTTGCCCAGAAGCTATGTAGAGACACAGACAACTTGTCACCATGTGTTTGCGCCTATGTTAACTGCCACTATTGTTCTATTTCTATTTATGTTGTTCTTTACGCACGTTGTTATCGTCTCACGTCGT